TTCTATGGTACTATCAAGCCAGCCAGCTCAAAGTAACTCATTCCCCCCCTCCTCCTCCAAGTGGGGGTGTGGCTCATGGGGGCAGGTCTGAACAAGGCTAGCACTGGGGCTGAAGACCCCAGAGGTGCCAGCAGGAGAGGACACAGCTGGGTGTATGAACACAAAGCTGGGAGGCCTGAGGAGGTTCCAGCCTGTGGATTCAGGGGGTTTCCAGCCCCAATTTGGATGCTAAGTGAGGGTGCATCTACACAGCAGGTCTTAACTTGAAATAAGCTACATCAATTGAGCTACGTCAATTGCGTAGTTTATTTTGAAATTGAAATTGGGAGCGTCTACACAGCACTTATTCTGCAATAGAGCACTCTTCCTCCAACTTCCTTTACTCATCGCACAGTGAGGGTTACAGGAGTCGGGGTAAGAAGTCCTCCAGCTTGACATTATTTTGACATTATTTTGCAATAACTGGAGGCTGTGTAGACACAGACTAAGTTATTTCAAAATAATGCTAGTTATTTCAAAAGAATGTTGCTGTATAGACAGACCCTGAGTGGGCTGTAGCTTACTCAGGCCCATGTATAGCTACATCCCTGCCCCCACCCCAGAATTCACACTAACAGCCAGAGCCCTCGCTCCCTCCCACATCCCCAACCCTCTGCCCCAACTTGGATAAAATGAGGGAGCAAGAGTGGGGAAAAGTGAGTGACTGAGGGAGTGATGGGGAAGGGCCTCCAAGAAGTGGGGCAGGTGGTGGGGCAAGTGTGTTCAGGTTTCTGCTATTAGAAAGGTGGCATTCCTAATCAGAGTGGCCACTGCTAGAGACAGGACCCTGACCTTGATGGGCCAGTGATTTGTTGCAGTTTGATAAATCCTGTATCAATTTTTCCTTTTAAATGTTACTGATGGTGGAAAGGCAAGTTTCAATACTTTTTACTTTGTTTCATGATGAGGCTTTTTTAAAAAATGTATTTAAAAGAGCAGAGCTACAGCAGGGAGGTTGTTTGTTTAGCCAACTCACATTCTAAGGAATTTTCTTTCATCTCATTAAAGGAAAAATCTGAGCAGTCTCGAATTCAGAATGGAAAACAGACTTCCTGGTTTCTGAGACCCGGAGATTGTTGTATAAAAAAAGCCTCCGCCTGAGCTTACTTGATTTTACACATGCATTTTCTGGAAATACACTAACCTGTAAGGTCTAAGGTTTTAAACTGAAACTCATTGTAATTTTTGTCAAACTTTGCAACTCGTAATCTCTGTAAAACTTTGCAACTTTGTAACTCTCAGCAACTTTGCTTTATAAATTCAGAAACTTACTTTAAGCTTCAACTTTGTAATCTTTGTAACTCTCAGCCACCTTGCTTGTAACTTGCTCTAAACTGCATTCTCCCCAAGTGATGCAGGTGTGTGTGTCTGTGTGTGTGGTAGGAGTTACAAGGCTGAGGCACATGGAGCACATGGTGATGAGTCACCCAAGACTGCTGCTTTGCTGGATAAAGGGAAGTCTGGGCATGCTCCCTGGTGACAACGTGGATGAGTCACAGGAGCCATACAGACACAATATAAGGAGAGATAGCATGTGGCCTAAGCCTCTTTCTCTTTTTTCCTCTTCCTGAGCAGCTCTTCTTTCTATGGCCAGTGTCTTTCCTGACCAGCTCCCAGCCATTATCAGCAGACAGACTCACCAGAATCTACATGCCTTGGCTCTTTCTGCAATCCATATGCCTGTGTAAGAGTGAGTGCCTGAGGGCAGAAATGAATGGAGGTGTGTGTGTGCAAGATAGAGATAGCTGGTTCCCTCATTAGTTTAAACCTGAAGGGTGTGTCTAGACTACATAGCTCCGTCGACGGAGCCATGTAGATGAGTTTACTCGGCAAAGGGAAATGAAGCGGCAATTTAAATAATTGCCGCTTCATTTACATCAAAATGGCCACCGCGCTGTGCTGATCAGCTGTTTGTTGGCACAGGCCTGCAGTCTAGACAAGGATCTGCCGACCCCAGAGCCCTTTGTCAGCAGATCCTGTAAGCCTTGGGTATCAAGGATCTGCCGACAAAGGGTTCTGGGGTCAGCAGATCCCCGTCTAGACTGCCGTGCTGTGCTGACAAACAGCTGATCGGCACAGCGCGGTGGCCATTTTGATGTAAATGAAGCGGCAATTATTTAAATCGCTGCTTCATTTCCCTTTGCCGAGTAAACTCAGGCTCTGTCAACGGAGCAATGTAGTCTAGACACACCCTTAGTGGCAGCTCTTCCCTCTGTAGTTTAACCAATGTAGTGCATATAGTGTAATTTTAATTCCCCAAACAATATATCCATGCTAGTGTAACCCTGGGTGGTCTCCAGTGGGAATTTTTGGGGGTAACATTAACGAGGGGAATCAAGATGGTCAGGAAATGTCCAAAAATACATTCACAGAATTCTGCTGGACCTTGAAAAATCCTCTTGATTGATTCCATCCAATACAACAGGATCTTCATTTATAGTAGAGAGAATAGTAAAGCCGAGGCACTAGACATTTTTGAGTATTAATCAGATGCCCCGTTTAAGGGCCATATTTTCAAGATGCTCACTAATTTTGGAAGAAGATATGTAGTTCCCATAAGACTTCACTCAAAGATTCCAGACTCTATGAAAATCAATTTCTAACAAACTATCAGCTACTGGTTATTTTTTTAATAACCAAAACAAAGTGTGAGAGGTTGTCAGAAACTAAAATTCCCCCTCGTTTTCAGTGCATGAAAGTGTATGTGTATTGCCCCTGTGGTCCCTTGAGAGCATCATCTCTCAGCTCCTCAGCAATCTTCATTCTTTGACACAG